ATAATTGTACAATATAGACATAACACTTACAATAAGGTAGGTTTACTATTTTCAAGGAATTATTTCGTTACTTTTTAGTGTACTGTTTTTTCTTATGAGAGGATGGGAAGGGGAAGTGGATTTGACGATGGAGGAGATACATAGGAAGAGATAATATCCTCTTTATGTGCGTCTCCTCCTCCGTCGGATAAGGGTAGGCGACGCATCTGCAATTGCAGATGTCTATGGGCAGCGGTCGCTTCGCCATTTTGGCGTATTCAGGTGGCCGCTTGCTCGTTTGCCATCTTATGTTATAAAAAAAAGAATACTGCTGTAGGTCCCTGGCCAAAATAGTAATAAATAGAAATAAGACATAGAATTCTAGTCATGAAATCAGTTTTAGTCATTTATCTATTTGTATTTAATTTCATATCTTATTTTACCTTGCCATTTTATTGTAAATTTTATTTTATTATTTTAATTCAATTGTAATTTTATCTTTTGAATTTTAACCGCAATATTAATTTTGTCATTTTATTTGTTAGTAATATTTTCTAGTCATTTTAGTAATGTTAGCATAGTGATATAAATCTAGTCATTTTAGTAACTTTAGTTTATTAGGCAAGTAGAAATCTTAAAAATTTGTAAGAAATTTGTAAAGTTATTTGACAAAAAATTTTACAATAAAGAAATAAACGTTCCACCCGCACCTAACGTCTCTATCCCAAAAATATGCTAGGGGAACGAGAGGGTGGCATAGAGCCGCCCAAAAAAAAAAAAGAAAGAATAGAAAACTGCAAACCCTATTATGAAAACATCATATTTGACATTTTGAATATATAATGTATACGTAGCCTTATTTGATACTTCATGTTATTTTAATAGACAAATCGCGTGACCCGCTCGGCACGATTCTCAACACAAACCCACACAATGTTCATATTTGATGCGTTGAGAATTTTTGATCACACAAAATCACTTTAGCGAAATTGTAACATCCTAAGAAATACACGCGGTATAAAGTTAAACTTAGGAATCAACTTAGTATAAGCAAAATAAGTTAGTATGTATTTTGATTATACTAAGTTTATTTACTTAAACTTAGTTCATTCCTAAGTTTAACTTTATACCGCGTTTATTTGTAAGGCTATATGAGTTTAAGATAAAGATAATCGTAAAGAATCTATTTAACTTTATTCAAAATTTCCGTCCATTTTTCTATTGAGGAAAGACATTGTATTTTTATAATTTTCTCTCATTAATTAGTTCTTGTTTCGAGATGTATTTATATACGAGTAGTAATACTGTACAAGAAAACTGTTTCATTACACTTCTAATCCTCCACTTCGAAGGGAGATCACGGTGTAAGGATTTTAACCTTCGTTGATTTTATTGTACCAACAATTATATATTGATTTTACTCCAAAACTGTCTTCGTGGAATTAATCAGAACTAAGTATTCCTGATCCTCCTATCTCCTAGACAAAGTAACAATTAATATAACACAATGTAACTGGGCCTATTATGAAAACTAGTGAGAAATCAATCGTAACGTAAATCAAAATGCGTATTACATTTGTGCAGCGCCCTGCCGGTCGTAAAATGTAGTGACAAATTTTAAAACAGTAACGTGTACGAATACTTTCTCGCAAATTTTCGTGTTAAACCTCCTAATATTAACTTTCGTTACACATATTTTTTACGATTCTACAAACAATCCGTAATCTAATGTAATCGTCTAAGATTAAATTTATAAGGTCCTCGTTCAGTTGTTTTTCCTTTATGTGTTGAGAAACGTACGTCATCTAACGAATTAAAAGATTTACACAAAATTTAATTAACAACTTAACTGTATGTTATAATTCTGTTAAGTAATTTGTGGAATGTGTGAATGTTTCATGCAAATGTTATCAGTTTAATGGTTATTCATTCCATTAGTTAAATTATATTGCCTCTAGTCTAACGCCCGAGCAATTTAATTTGTCGAACGATACCGATGGTTACGTTTACGATAGATTAAGACTGCTATTAAACATCTTGACTACAAAGACAGAAATTATAACTATCTTAGTAAACACATGACTAGAAAACAACCTTTGTTTAGTTACATTTGTATGTATTTGTCCAAAGTATATTTTTCTATAACGATATTACAAAAAGGAA